TCATCGGGGAAGGATTTGGCCGAGGTGGAGTCGGAGGACGAGCTGGGCCAAGATTACTCCAGTTCCTCTCGGAATCTTCAATATCTTCGTCATCGAGTATGCTTGAATGATCGGTGGGGGGGCGGAACATCACTGCCACCACTGGGAGCATCAGGAGAATCATCCACCGAAGGTTCATTATCATCCACGTCATCTCCACGATCGTCACCAGCATTTCCATCGTCATCAATCTCCATCGAAAGGTCGGGTGAAGACACGCTTGGTACGACAGCCGTCGGAACAATCGGAGCCGGCTTTGAAGACACGGAGGCTGGTGGAGCAGCTTCAACAGGGGCAGGCCCTGCTGTAGAAACCACTCCCGAGACTTCAACTGTCTTGGACGTCGGAGCAGACACCAAAGCAGACGTGCCTTGTGGGACAGTTTGGTCCGACTCTTCACCTTCGTCACTCGAGCCAAACATGAGCCGCATTTCCTCGGCCTCGCGCAGAGCTTCTTCAGCAGCACGTATGTCGGCTGAAGAAGGTGAAATCGTTAAAGCTGATGGCTTGGCCACATCGTGTGGACCCTGAGGCGGAGGCGAAGGCGCGTCAGGAGAAACGGGAACATCGTCGTGATCCCCAGGGTTCACATCCTTACCCGAGGGCTCTGTAGCAGTTTCTTGAACCGAAGGGACGCTGCTTGGATCAGTATTCCACATGTCCACGTCACTCTGGTCGCCGCTGAGGTCGACCACGGCGGGAGTCGAGGAAGACGCTGGTGTAGGAGGTGGCGACCATGAGCTTGGAGAAGACGGTACAGACTGGGATCGAGTCTTCATATGACGTCGGGGCGACTTGACAGGAGAATGAGGACGAGGCTTCTTGCGCTTCTTCTGAGCCGCTTTCTTCCACGCCTTCGGGCCGAACAGCGATCTACGAGCAGACTTGGGCGTTGAAGTATCGGCAGGGGGCGCATCACCGAGACCGGCAGCTGCCATCGAAGTACTGGTCCTTGTCCGTTGGGATGGAGCCTTGTCTTCGTCAGAGTCGTCCGGCTCGTCGTCTGAATCCCTCGCCACCTGGTCTAAGACGCTTATGGGACTTCCCATGGGCCACTTGGTGAGCGGCCTTGGTCAAAGCTGCAGGAAGGGCTTGAGGATCGTCCGAAGACGCGGTGTCAGACTGGATGCGCCGCAAAGCGACTAACTTTTCCTGATCCAAGTCCAGCGCGTCTAGGTCCAGCTCACCCGCAGCCAGACCTATCACGAAGGATTGTGAACGAACGTTAGTTGCTGAACACACGGTGGAAGGAGCATCATTAGGAACGTACCATCAGCAGCCAGACGAAGTACCTCGGGGTCCATCCCGGCCAGACTCACGTGTGCACGGAGGGTGCGATTCGCTTGGAGGAGGCGAGTGTTACGGCCTTGCTGGTTCTCGAGGACCTTGAGCGTGTCGTTATCAACGTACTTGCCCTGGGCAAGCTTTACCAGAAGGAGGTGAAGGTTCCGAGTCTGCTCGGTATTCGCTCCAATAGAAGACTTGTACACCTCGCGTTCGCGAGCCAACTTCTTCTGCAACGTGCTGATAAAAACGTCCCGAGCTTGGACCTCGCAGTGCAGACGATTCAAGTCTTCTGCATGTCGCTCCATAGTGGCTTGAACAGTGGCGAGCATGGCGTCGTTCTTGGCGTTCGACTCGCGGAGGATCTTGACATTGTGGTGCAGGGCTTCAATCTCAGCGTTGGCAGCCTTGAGGAACGCCTCCGCGTTCTCACGAGCCATGATTTCGGGTGCCATCGAACGTACGGCGGCAGCAGCTTCGGACTGAGCAAACCGCAGCTGACGCTCCAAGTCGGCAACTCGTTCGGGTAATGCCGACAGCGCGTCAGTAACCGGTTGTACCGCAGCGAGGACATCATCGAAACCAACAGCAGTCTCGAGGCGACGTTGAGTGTGTATATCGCCGTGGAGAGGAGGCGCAACGCTGAGCTGCACTTGGTGACGAGCCATTGCAGTCAAGTACGGGATTATCGAGGTCATCATGTGATCGACCGATGCCTTCGTACTTTCTGCCAGCATGGCGCGCAGCGAATCTTCGGTGAGTGGTGGTGGACCACCAGCTGGGGCAGGAGGAGCAGCAGGAGCCATCTCCGCGGACTCAGCGACGACGGGGAGTGCTGCAGGAGATCTCGCAGGGAGTGAAGAGTCCGGGGCAGCAGGCGCCGGAGGACCGGTTGATGACGCTGCTGTCGGAGGAAGTGCAGCAGACTGAGGGGTGTTCGAACCCTCGGTCTTGCCCTCCTGAGAAACAAGTCGAGTAATGCGAGGTGATGAGCAAGGTACCGATGATTCAAGAGAAGGATGAGCTGACGTACCTCCAGCTGCTCACGTTCGCGACGTCTACGGGGATTGAGACGCTGAAATGCGTCGGACACGACTCGATTCAGACGCTTGGACATACGGTGGCGAGATGGTGAATTGGAGAATGAAGAAATGTCACAACGGGCACCAGTACCGTGGCTTCCATCGCGACAGGGGCAGTTGTGGTGTAGTGATTTCTCCGTATTTGCGGATTATCACCCGTCGACAAAGACGTGACACCGCCCAAGATGTTCAAGCGACGAACCCTCGGTCAGGTGATGTACGGAGACGACACGGTGCCAGGGACTCGACGGCGTCACTCCCGAGCTTTCAACGAGCATTGGATACGGGCATATGTCACTGAATCCAGGCTGTCCTTATTATTAATAATGGACTGGCCGGATTCGCATTCAGCGGACCATCTACGGTACGAACCCTCAGTGGCGGTTGGGATGAGTTCGCGGAAGACTCAGCGACCCTTGGAAGGCACGTTCACCGTCTGGGACAGGGCGCGGACCTTTAAAGATGCTAATGCGACGGTGCAGACGACGCTTGGCATGCAAGAAGATTCATAACGGATCATTGTTCACTTGATATTTGTATACTTGATTAGGACTTCTTATTAGGAATAGACCCGAAAGGGTAAGCTTAAATACAGAACAGAATTTCCACTCAAGCACACAGAGCGACGTCCGGCTTCAAGGTAAGCGTCAGGTCAAGCTTGTTTGAGTGTGTTATGCCTGTCGGTGAACTCGAAGCTCTGTAGCGAGGGTTCATCCGGCAAGGCCAAGAGACTTTGTGTATTGGCCGATTATTATCGGGAGGTTTTACGTGACGGCTTATTGTTGCCTATTTGCACGACTGGGAGTGCTTGAATTGCCTCCCTTTTATTCTTCCTACCGAGTGTTGAACGCTCGGTGATCTCGTAAAAGGCTTACCCTTGCCTGGTACCTTTCCGCTGTTGGGACCACGAGGATTCAAAACACCTGCTAGCTTTGCTCCGTGTTCTTATTTTTACTGGTTGGCCTATATAAGTAGTTTACAAGGTCCAGTTTGTCCCGGTGCAAGGGCAAAACTGGGGTCTTCAGGTCCGCCCGAACGATCGTTTACTATCCTAGTAGACGTATTGTTGTGGGAACATCCTAACTACATTTGTAGCTAGAGCTCACGTGGGATTTTCAACACCACAGATACCAGTGTTGGACCTGAGCTTACCGAGCCACGGAGGGCAGTACTACATTAGAACACGATCGCATGGACGGTGTCCCAGCCACAAATTACACGGGGGGTGCTTGGGGTGACCACGATTGCACACCACGGAGCACGAAGCCATTGTAGAGCACGATAATATACGGAAAACGCAGATGCACTGCGCGAGCACAATACCTTAGACAGCATTACCACACCGGAGCTGCACGATAGCGTGATAACGTAGTCGATGGAACCTCGCCAGGAGAGCACGATACACGGGCGGTGGAACAACACGACTGCGTGAAGACACCAAACCACGGAATAGCACCCTTCGGCTAGAGTACCAGCGATGGGAGGCCAACGACCACGAAATACCATGTATAACGAAACCGGTGCAGCCCACGTAAGCGGTGAATACCGGGAATAGGTAGAAAGAGACCGTACTGAAGAACATGAACCCAAAAGACAGGGCGCATAGGCCCTAAGCAGCATGGACCACGGGTGAGCAGGGAGCCACGAAGCCAGGAAGATCACGGAAGAGCGCCGGTCACTGAAGAACATGACATCCAGCCTGTAGTACGGGGTAACGTAAGCGTACCAAACCACGATATTATACGGGTCCACATGAGACTACGGAATGGTAAGTGGTTAAGTACATGAAGCCAAGACCTACTGGGGTGAACGACGCTCACAAAGTACGCGACACCAAGAGGCACTTAAATTTGCGGCCACCTCATCTCCAACAAAGCATGCCACTCCGCCGCGTAGCGGCGGCGAACGGCTAGTCTTAAACATCTATTGCAGCAACCTGTCTGTCCGTCACACTAAATTGTCGTGCCTGTCACGCTTTTCCGGACAAACCATTGGATAAAATTATTTAAATATTTCTACTGGCTGCCGAGCGCAGCGAAGGTGGCCCCCAATTTGCCTAAAAGCTGCCGGGCGCCCAAATCGGCACCTTCTGCAAACCTGCGGGCCTTTGGGCCCGCCTGAGCCACAATCTGCCAACCTACCGTGCGAGTAGTGAAGCGAGCCCGTGGCGAGCGGAACGGAGGCAAACACAAGGAACGACATTCGTATTTACAATTTCATTAAACGAGGATAAATGACAGATGTGCAATACAAACTTCAAGTAAAAAAATCATTTATGTTGAGTGTTCCAACACTAGGGCTACGCTTGGCTGGGATAGCAAATGCAGGGTGTATTTTGAGTTAACCGCCTAAAATGTAGTAAAGAGCAGCAATGAACTGAAACCCGCCCAGGGTACGCTAGTTCTCAGTGTACGCCAAGACGAGAAAAAGAATGATCGGGAGGCAAACAGGCGTATTATTGCTGCAGCTCAAGTGCACGGGGATCCGCCATTGGATCCACACTGTCGACGCCTGTGCATTGACTGCCGGAGGTGGCGGAATTCTTGTTCCAAAGGTTGTTGTAGATAACGTACTTACCAGCCTTTGAGAGACGACTCAGTAGTTGTTAGCGATGTGTGCCACGATGTGTTCGTTCTTGTTGCCACCTAGTTTAGGAGACCGACCGGAAGTTCCATGCACGTAGTTGTTAAACATGCTGACGCCGGTGTTTCGGCCGTAGAACAGAAAGGTCCAGTAGTGGTGGCCGTCGCACGTGGACGAGTAGTCGGTGTTTCCGTCAAAGTCCGAGCTACTGACAGTCATAGTGGCGACACCAGCCTTGTTCGGGACACGAGCATTTGACGACCCACATGAGAAACCTTGACGTGGTCGATCCAAATAATGTTGATGGTCGTGTTGGCGTTGTTGGAGCCTCGCATCGCCGCCCCACACGACGTGTCGGTTGCGCTCAGTGATGTGGATATTCTACAGGATAATATTGTCGCCGTTCAACGTCAGTCCCTTACCCATATTGACGCCGCTCTTGCCGATACCTCTGGCGGTCTTGTTGCCCTTCACATTCATAGGCTTCAGTGCTGCGTTGTCGTACGTCAACATCACTTCAGTGACGTACCGCCATTGGATCCAGGGAATTCAACGTCCTGGGTGATTAGGTAGAGCGGCAGTGGCCTTCCGTCGACTCATACTGCTCGGAAGTACAGCACATGGGGTCTGGTAGATTGTGTGGTAGACGATATGGAACTCAAGTAGAGCAGTCTCAACGTCTGGAGACTGCAACGTAGTATGAGCTTCGTCATCAGCCGTCATGATACCCTAAGCAGTATAGCAAGATACGATGTGAGTCACAACTGTAAACATCTAGTATCTTTCCCGTGGTGAAGGTAGAATGTCTAGCCCACCTCTTCATCCAACAGCAATTCGTCAATGTCCCCAGTCAGCTCCTTCCCACTCTTTTCATCTTCATCGCGTCCTAATTGCCGCACATTTCCCGTTGAGACAGGTACGAGTCTCCATCCAAGTGCTTCAACATCGCATCAAAGATCAATCCTATACCAACTCCAGCACTAAGAGGATTTTAACGGCGCATGTTACCTGTCGGTTGCCGTGTCTCCACTCCCAAGTCGCCACCGGCTTCGTATCCCCCGCGTCCTGCTCGCTCGCCACTTCGTGCGACCTCCTCTGCAGCAGCTCGACCTCCTGGCAGAACCTCTCGTAGCTCAGTACGGCGCAAGGGTCGACACGTTGCTGATACGCTGCCTTGTCGTGGCTGCCCCGGTGGCAATCCCGCAAATACGTAAAGAGTATCCCTAACCGCCGGCTTCAGCTATCGGCTTCAGTTACTATTGAAGGTGAGGCGAGGAAGGTGGAGGAGCTTGAGTAGAAGGAAGAAAAAAGAGATGTGATTGAATTTTATGAGTCTGTCTTCAGAGCGTTTCCTGGCACCATTGATTTATCTTTCCTGTAAAAGGTGATGTATCGACTTATGCAGGCTTGGGTCCAGAACATATTTTGTATGGTAAGACATTCTGTACAATAACTTGTACGCTATGTCACCAATTAGGACACATCATTGACAGCCTCTCTGTGTCCCAAGTTGGGGGCAGTTCTTACCCCAGATGGTGCAGCTGATTTGCATTCAAGACGTTGAGGACTTTGACTTAAATTACTACTTCGAGAGATAATCGACTGTTTCTTGCGGTAGTGAGTTGCTAGAAAGTATGTCTATACCTTTCCGAAGGTCGCAAAGTTCTTTACCGTCGTGCAGTTCAAGTATCAGTGAAATACGCTTGCTTTCTCTTCCGTATCGTTCTCGTTGAGTGCATTAAGTGTTCATTTCCTGATCTTTCAACTTTTGCACAGGTGCGGTTTTCTTCTGATTTGCATGCAAGTATTGAAGGTGTTGATCAAGTGCAATCCTCAAGGGAGCGAGACTTAGTGCGATGCGCGCCTGACGCTATAGTCTGGGCTAGCTCTGAGTGAACTTGTTTCACTCGGTAGCGAATCGTCTCCACTGGTCTCAATAACCTTGGGTTTTGTCATATTGATTTACTGCAATCAATATTTTGCTGCTATTGTTCATGTGATTTGCACAGTACTAATATACTATCTTTTGTATACACAGATACCTGTCAGTCTTCGCACATCAATTTTGTGCCAACATCAAGAGATGCTGTCGGACCGGTACTCAATGTGCGGTCTCTTATCGATCAGCAACGCTCTTCAAACTAGGGATTTTATCACCCCAGCCATGTTGCGGCCTATTTTGGCTCGGTTGGTAGAGGTGAGCCCAAGTGTGGATCATGGACATCCACGCTACGGTGCCTACACTATGGATGCGTTGCAGAAGGGCTTGCAGAAGCGGCGGAAACAGCTGATTTACCTGAACACAAAGTCGGGGCTCAAGAGCAGACCCAAGCGACCTACCTCCATCGTGCGGAGTCGAAAATCGGCTCTGCTGATTATAGGTAGGCGGCCTGGGCAACGAGCAGGTACATGGCATTGTATCGCTCGTGCCTGGGTTGGTAACAAGTTTGTGTTCATCGATTCCGACACTTATCACTTCTTCCCTAACCGGGAGGAGCTTTTGACAAATTTCTTTGAGACAGTAGATGGTGTGTATTCAATTGAGGACATTCCTCGTGCTAATCTTTAAGATTTAAATAATACGTATTTACTTTTAACAAAACTTGTCGCTGTATATATTTTACATATCGATTAGTATTTTTCTTTTCCTTTTTTTTCTTTTTCTTATTTTTGTATAAGTGTCTTACATAGTGACCCTCTTAGATTTATAAAAAGGGGTTTTGATAGTGCTTTTGTAAAAATGTCTGCTACCATTTCTTTGGTGTTGCAGTACATAATTTCAAATTCTTTTCGCTCTACTTTTTCTTGTACAAAGTGATACCGAATGTCAATGTGCTTGCTTCTGCCATGCAGTTCTGGGTTGTAGGAAAGTTTAATACAACTTTGATTGTCCTCAAATAGGGTAATAGCATGTGAGCTTTCGTGTTTAAGCTCTACTAAAAGAAGCTTTAAAAAAATAAATTCTTGCATGCAGTGACATAGGGCTATGTATTCTGCCTCTGTTGTGGACAGAACTACGGTGTGGTGCTTTCTCGATTGCCATGAAATTGGGCTTCCACACATATATGCGATATAGCCTCCCACAGATCGTCGTGTGTCTGGGCAATTGGCGTAGTCTGCGTCGGAGTATGCAGTGAGATAATGCTTTGACTTATACTGCTCTAGATTTTGCTTCCACCAAGGGTGAT